ATGTTTCTAAAGGTAATTCTGAATGATTCTTGGTTGCGTCATCAAGAAAAAATACAAAGCAAATGTCACAGCAAATGTCTGAAATGTGACAGGCATTGCAAACCGCTTAGCCTGGCCAGAGAGAGCCATGCTGAGCCTCCACCCAACCTGCGCGCCAGGAGATCTGTGCATCTTCCGTCTCCTGCAGGCAACGCGGGAGCGAAACTTTCCACGCTGAGAAATCCACGTTAATGCTCTATCATTGACATTTATACTCCTGGAAATCCTTCAACTTAATTGAAAGAAAGGAAATAAGTTTCTTGACCTCTTTTCAATCCAAAATAATATCTATCATTTTCGTTAATAGACAATACTAGTGCACGCAGCACAGTGCGATAGACATCAATCTGTTTTATAGCAAGTCCCACAGCAAATTAAGTCCCACTGGGTTATAATTTTCAGTAGTATACAAATAGACCCATAATAAATCTAAAATGGTATTATGCCACTCAATCAAAGAAGCAGAAAACAGCCAAGGGAAAAAATATATTTTGGATTCTTACACTGTATTGACGTACATGGTGAGTAAGATAATAATTTATATGGAAAGTAATATCATTGCTCATTTTGGAATTATTGAAATCAGTTTTTGAAAATAAAAAAGACAGAGGCAAAAATGAAAAAAAAATTAGAGAACAATATCTTCCAACAACCAGTTCATTATCAAATAAGATTCATAAATACACTTGCCACCAAATACACATGTACACGTTTTGTCCAAATGAAGCAAAGCTGTATGCTATTTACCCAGCACACCGCATTCTGCAGCAGCTGTGCCAGCATAATGAGAGCAGCGTGCTTAGAAACCGTTCTCTTATTTACATAGTAAAGGGAGGGAGGGAGGGAGGGAATCCACCTTCCTGAGCATCGCCCTTCTCCAGGTCACCTGCCGACCGGGCAGACACGCACAGCCGTCATCTGCAGCCCAATCCTGGTTCCCTTTTCTGGAGCAGGAAGTGCCAAGCTACAGCTCCCGGGCCAAATCTGGCCAACTGCCTGTCTTCTTAAAGAAAACTTGACGGAGGCCTGGTGCGGTGGCTCATGCCTGTAATCCCAGCACTTTGGAAGGCTGAGGCAGGCGGATCACCTGAGGTCAGGAGTTTGAGATCAGCCTGGCCAGCATGGTAAAACCTCGCCTCTACTAAAAATACAAAAATTAGTCAGGCATGGTGGCGGGTGCCTATAGTCCCAGCTACTTGGGAGGCTGAGGCAGGAGAATTGCTTGAACCAAGGAGGCAGAGGTTGCAGTGAGCTGAGATCGCACCACTGCACTTCAGCCTGGGCAACAGAGCAAGACTTGGTCTCAAAAAAAAGAAAAAAAGAAAAAAGCAAGCTTGACTGGAACACAGCCATGCTCATTGGTTTATATATTGCCTGTGGCTCTTTCGTGTGGCCAACAGCAGACTTGGGACTGTCTGGCCCGAAAAGCCTAACCCAAGTGCGTCTGCCCCTTCACAGAACCAGGTCTGCCAACTTCCATCAGAGTGCTAGGCTGAACCTTCCCACCCTCATACTCCTGATGCCTAAGTCCTAAAACCCTAGGCTCTGGCTAAATAAAACATGGAACTTCAACATAGTGAAATAGTAAAATGATACTTACTAAGAGTCTCTAATGATCTAGGGCAGGGAACGCTAGTATAATGCTAAGGGTTAAGGATACGAAATTGTAAATTCTGTCCACCTACATCACTGTAAAATGTACATGCACAGAGAAAAGGCCAACAGGCAATACATCAAAAAGTGAACACTAGTTGTCCTTAGACGGTAAAATCTTGGATAATTTTTTTCTACTTTTAACTTTTTAGTAATTTTCTGAAAAGAATGTGTATTTCATTTTTAATTAGAAAACAAATTGACTTTTCAGAATGAAAAAATAAAACTGTAATCCTAAAAACATATGTAATTACTGTCTGACAAACGATCTCATTCTTCCACTGGGGGAAAAAAAAAAAACCCCTGGTGGTTTTTAACTTAGCTCACACAAAACTACACATTTCACTTGATAATTCTTTAATGAACATAGTCCATTACCACTCACAGGCTACAGACACCCAGCAAAATGTCATGTTCAACCTAATTTCAGCACTTCAGTATGGGAGAAAGCAGTTTACTGTAAAAGAGCTGCCACCTGAGACACCGCTCAATTGTTCCAGGCAGTGGTTATCTGATGACCACTGTCTGCCACTGTGGCATATTGATTTCAAAGTCCCTCTTATGGTAACTGTATTGGTTTGTTTTTCACTGCACTTCCTACTAAATGCTTACTTTAAAAAATCTGACTGTGTCCTAACTCCTACAAGGATTTCAGAGGCTACTGGGACGATGCATCACGTCTTGGTAGAGAGAAAGCACATTCCCCAATCAAAGGGCAGGTACCCATTTTACAAATAACAAGGCCAGCAGCCCTCAGTGTGAAAGCCGGCTTCTTTATTTTATTTTATTTTACAGATGGGGTTTCCCTGTGTTCCCAGGGCTGGTCTCAAACTTCTGGGCTCAAATGATCCTCCTGCCTCAGCCTTCCGAGTAGCTGGGACTACATGACGCACTGCCACATCTGGCCCAGGCGTCTTTAGGAGGGCACGGCTGTGCGCGGACGGAAGCCAAGTCCTTCCCACTCGTGGCGGGAGAAGGAAGTGCCTGAGAGACACCTGTCTACTCGAGGAAATGCACTGGGTTTGTGCTTGTTCTCTCAACACGGGATGCCTCCAGTCTGCATGTTGGGGCCTCTATCTCCCTACTCTGCATCTCCTGGCTTTTCTATTTCCCATCTTGATCCTTTGCCATGGCCTCCTGTGAGCCCCCACTGTAGCCTTCCAGGCCATTCATTTGGCTCCAGCAGTGTCTCTCCTGCTATGGATCCTATCTACTGTGTTCTTTATTTCAAACATTACAGTGTGCCAGTCTTCCCAAAGCAAGGACGCCAGTGTAACAACTGTCGGCACACACAGAAAGCGCCTTCATACAAACCAGAAATTAGGTGAGCGCTCATAGTACCCGGTTCAGCTTCATGTTGTTGAAAGAGGCACTGAGAGGCAGAAAAAACAGTCTTGAAAAGAAAAGATAAATGTTTGAGGTGATGGATAAGTTGGATAGATCCCAGTTACCCTGATTTTGATTGTTACACATTGTATGCATGGATCAAAATATCACCTGGACCCCCAAAATACATACAGCTATCATATATCAATTTAAAGAATGCAAAGCAAATTCATTATAAGTTACTCAGTCTGTTGTATGCTGTTATAGCAACACAAAACAGACAGACAGACAAGAAAAAGTACTATAAAAGAAGAACCAAGCAGAAAATCACCCAGGGGCCTGTAGGCTGAAGCTTCTGCAGACGCACAATGGACACTGCCAGGGAACAGGCCTCCTTCCCACTCATTTTCCCGTTCCCCACTCCCGATTTCCTGCATGACTGCTTCGGTGCCCCCGAAGATAGGAGGTGGATCGAGATGGTGTAATAAAAGGCTCCACGAGTCCCATGTTGGCCAGGCTAGTCTCGAACTCCTGGCCTCAAGCAGGACTATGGGTGAGAAGGCAGGAGACTGTCCGGAGTGTTAGGTCATCTTGACAGAAGCCTCAAGAGTGTCCTCGGCCGACAAGCAATCTGCCTGCCTACCCTCCCAAAGCATTGGGGTTACAGGCGTGAGCCACTGCACTTGCTATTTTTCTATTTTCTTTTTAGAGACAGGGTCTCCCTATGTTGCCCAGGCTGGTCTCAAGCTCCTGTGCTCAAGGGATCCTCCTGCCTCAGCCTCCTAAAGTGCTAGGATTACAGGTGTGAGCTACCACGCCCAGCCCTCTTCCCTTCATCTCCAACTATTATGGGGTAACAGTAAAAGGAGGTCTCTCCCTGAGTGGAAACCTGCAGCCCCCAAGTCTGGCGGGGGGAGGGCTAGGGACAGTTAGTGTGAGGGCTGCGCCACAGTCACCCCAACATCATGAACCCCCAGCCCTGGGGTCTGGGATCAATTAGGACTTGGCTGCAGAGGCAGAGCAGGAAGGCCAAGTTTTCCTCCACCTAGCAGTTAAGGACACACTCATGCAGCCTTGCCCCTCCGGCCCCTCCCAGGGGGTCCCTGGGGGCCCTTACTTTGCTGTGCTGTTAGCCCCCCGTGTCCACCCAGGGCTGCAGGCGAGAAGGCAGGAGACTGTCTGGAGTGTTAGGCCGTCTTGACAGAAGCCTCAAGAATGTCCCCGGCCGACAGCACGGTGTCTGCTGCACAGCTGCACCATTCGCACGGCACCTCAAGGGAGAGGTGTTTATCTACTAGCCGGTAACAGCCACAACATATAAGCTTTTCAGCAAAACATAAAATGGGAAAGTAGATACTAAAGAGTGGCAAGATGGTCTGGGGAGAACATTGGATTTGGAGGCAGGAAACACATACATCCCATTGTGCGTTCTGCCGGTGATGTCGGAGCTGAAATGTGGCTTCTACCATCTTGGAATATCACACACATTTCTTCAGTTATGTTCCCAATGGCTATAACTTTTAAAAACGATGGAGACAGAAAAATCATGGCTTTTTTTTCATTGCTAAAAATAAATTGAAAGATTACGCTTCAACTCAAGCAAGGGATTAAATGACTTCCTTTTTCACAGTAGCCTTTTCTTCCCCCGAAAGAAAGTCCAGTTTCCGGTATGGCCAATCCTGGTACTAAGACACCCTCCGAAATGCACAAAGGTAAGGAGAGGGTGTTCTTGGAAATCACAAAGCAGCGAGCTACCCACGAACAGATCAGAAGGAAGAAAGGATCTTGAACTCTCAAAGAGTAAAACCCAAGCCTCTACCGGGAATCCTGAATCCTGAATCCCACAAAAAGAAGACGGGGTACACTCATGTCTGTCACGTGGGCTCCTGGGACGACGTGAATGCCTGGGGCCCACATGGGCTGGGATTCCTGTGGGAGAGCCCAGCTGAGTGGGTCCCAGGGGCACAGCAGGGGCCACTCACCAGCGCAGGGCGATCTTGATGGGGGTGGTGAGGCAGGAGGTGAACAGGTCAGCCGGGAGGTCAGGGATCATGGGCAGCAGCTCGGTGGCCTCGCAGGCTGCCAGCTGGATGCAGTTTTTCATTGACGGAGGCAAAGGCATCTGAGCAAGAGGGTGATTTGGGTTGATTGCAGCTACCTAAAGGGCAGAACATTTGGGAAAAGAGAGTGGGACTTAGCTGCTGGTCACAACCAAAGAGTAAGCTGGAGCTGTAACACAGAAGGAAAGAAGAAGTCAACTCAGGCGGTCAGTTTTCACCGGAAAGTCCTCTGGAGAAAGGCACCGCTGCTGAACTGTCTCTGGAGGCCGACTGTAAGCCCGGAAAACTGGCCGTCTCATTCCCAGCGCCCTTCTGATGGCACAGCCTGGTTACGTCTCAGTCAACTCTGTTTTCTTCCCGGTTTTCCTCTTTGCAGGCCCCTACTTACCCTA